CTCTTAATTGCCGTGCTGGTAAGAATCCGTTTTGGTCGGAATGTATGAATTCATTCAAGAATCCTTTTAGTCTATTTGCTAGAATTGTGGTAAAGATTTTGTAGTCTGAGTTCAGAAGGGAAATAGGTCATAAAAATAGTTTTTTATGTCTGATGAGAGGGGGTCTTCTTTAGGAATCAAACTGATGTTAGCCTCTCTCCATGAATAGGGGATTTCCGCTTTCCCCGCTACCTCATTAAATAGGTCCTTCATGTGCTCTCCCATAGTCTCAAACATTGTTTTGTATAATTCCGCTGGAAGCCCATCTGTGCCCGGTGTTTTTAGATTCCTGTTTCTTTACTGCTTTTTCAATCTCTTCTAAAGTGATTTCTTCGTCTAATATTTCTTTCGTTAGATTCGATAACTTAGGTAAATCCGAATTCTCTATATAGTTTTTTATCACATCTATTGGAATTTCCTCTCTTTTATATAAATCTTTATAAAAATCCACTGCAATTTTTTCTTTCCCTTTTTTATCTTTTATTAGGTTCCCTTTCTTGTCTTCTAATTGATCAATTCGTCTAATCTGTTTTTCTTTTTTTAATCTAAATGTAAGCCATTTTCCTAATTTATTTGCTGATTCAAAGTGTTTTTGTTTTGCTAACTTTATCTTATCTTTCAATTTATCCAATTCCAGGAGATTAAGCTGATGTCTTAAAATTAATATCTGTTCTTTTGCTCTTACCGAGAGTGGATTATCTTGTAATTGTTCCTCGGCTTTTATTAATTTGCTTATTAACTCGCCCCTTTCTTGTTCTTCTTTCTTATGTTTAATGGCCATGTATTTAATGCAGAGACCTCTTATAAAAGCTTTGGCGGGATCCCAGACTATTTGTAGTGACATCCCCGGTGTTTTATTCTCTTGAAAGAAAAGGGGTATTTCTGTCTTGAGTATTTGTGTAAATTCAGTCTCTTTTAGAATCTCTGATCTCATCATCCACCTCCTTCTATTTTTCCCCTCTTTCTTTAGTGTGACTAATACTGGATTGTGGTCCGCCCAATCATTTGGCATAATTCTAGACTCTGCCACTAAGGAGTTAAGTTCTTGTGTCATCCAAATCATGTCCAACCTGGACCACAATTTATGTCTAGCTGAATAATAAGTAAATTGTTCTTTGGTCAGGTTGTACTCGCGCCATGTATCTTTCAGTCCTAGTTCCTCTCTCATTTCATCCCAAATGGCTGGTAAAGTTTTCCTATCATATCCTCCATTTCTTTTTTGACTTTCCCCTGTTTTGTAGTCCTGTGTCCTATTCGCAACTGCGTTAAAGTCGCCCAACAGGCATACCTGCTCATAGTCCAAGTCTCGGATTTCTCTTTGTAATTTCCAGAAGAACAATTTATGTTTAGTATTTGGGGCATAAATTCCTATCAGTAAGGCTTTACTCTGAAGTAATTCCACCTCTAATATTAACATTCTTCCCTCTTCATCTGCAAAAAGTTGTTTCGGGGAGAGATATTCCTTTACATACATTGCTACCCCTCTCTTTCTCTCCTCTGAGGCCGCAACAGTTTCCCTGCTTTAGGGCATTTCAATAGTTTAGCATGTGACAATTTAATGTGCGTTTCCTGCATACAAATTATATCCGCATTAGTTTTCACAATTTTGGTTAGTAACCGTCTTCTCTTTGCTGGTGCGTTAAGACCACTGACATTTACTGTCAAGAGTCTCACTCCTTGATCCATCCCTATCTATTGGTCCCTTTAATTTTGGCTGCTAGACGAGTTTCAATTCCGTATTCCTCCAGTTCTCCTTCCTCCCCCTTCCTCCCTTCTCGTTTCCCCTTTCCCTGATACATTTGTATTCCTCTCTCATTCCTCCGCTCTTCTTTCTGGTCTTTCTGAATCTCTTTAACTCTTTCTTTATCTCTTTCGCTTTCAGTAGGTCCAAATAAGTTTTCACAAAATTCTTGTGCATCCTGTATATTTTCAATTTTAATCTTATGGTCCTGCCACGTCACCAAAAGTCCTTCAGGCAATAACCATCGGTAAGGCACATTTTGCTTCCTTAGTTGCGAGGTTATAAACTGGTAACTCTGCCTCTGTTCTCGAACCCTTCTGGGGATCTGTTTTAAAAATGTAATCTGCCGTCCTTTATATGTGATATTCTGATCCCTGGCCTTATGAAGGGTTTCATCTCTGAGGGCCTTTTTGGTAAATCTTATATGTATCTCCCTAGGCAGGTTGTGCCGTCTCGCATAATTGGTGTAAACCCGATAGGCCTCGTCTATCTCGCCATATACTTCCTCCTTCTTTCTCCCAACTACTTCTGCAATCACTTTTCTCACAATTTCCTCCAACTGTTCTTCTCTATCTTCCGCCACATTTTGTAGACGTAGGAAAAAGGCAAACTTCTCCATCTCTAAGAATACTACTTCCTCTTCGAGTTTCCCAATCGCTTGCTCACATCTCCTTTTGCATTTATCCATCTGAGTTTCTACTCTTTCAGTGATTTTTTCAATGATAGTCAGTCTCTCCTCGTGTATGGTCAGAGTTGTTCTCATCTCTCCCAATGTCTCTTTAATTTGTTTCATCTCTCCTCTTAACTCAGTCCTCTCAGTTTTCAGGTCATCAAAGTTTTTGGATGTAGCTTCTTGATTCTTTTCCATTAATTCTTGGATATTTTGGAACATCATCTGCATTCCTTGCATTGTGATTGGTTTCTCTGATGTTGGTAGATTTTCTGCTGACTTTCTTAAACCTGGAGGTGTTGTTATCGGTGAGGATGCCACCATAGAGTCTGTGTGTTTTTTCATCACCTTAGTAGAGGTCACTGTCGTGGACATATTGGCTAGACAGAGGAAACTTTTTCAAATTATCATACACAAGTAATATTCTATATTATTCTTATTGTTAAATACTATATAATACTATATAATATTTAAGTTTACACACTTGATCTGCTTTCTCCCTTATTTCACTCCTACTAATATATATTCTCAATTTTCTATATTGTGTATATATATTATGTATTATTTATCAATTCAATTCAATATTATCTTATAAAAACATCTAAGGGGGAATTACACCAGGCCAGCTTGATGAAATAAAAAAGTTTTAAGGGCACGGCAAAAAGCACAGAGATCTGGTATCCTACGTATCTCCGGGGCAGGTCGTTCCAGAGGGCAGGTGCTGCCACAGAGAAGGCCCTCTCCTCTGGGGGTCGCCAGCCAACATTGTCTGGCCGACGGCACCCTGAGGAGTCCCTCTCTGTGGGAGCGTACTGGCCAGTGGGAGGCTATCGGTGGCAGAAGGCGGTCCCGTAAGTACCCAGGCCCTAAAGCCATGGAGCGCTTTAAAGGTGATAACCAACATCTTGAAGCGCACCCGGAAGACTACCGGAAGCCAATGCAGCTCGCACAGGAGGGGTGCCACATGGGAGCGCCCCATAGCTCCCATAATCCCCGGCGTGGCCGCATTCTGCACCAGTTGGAGCCTCCGGGTGCTCCTCAAGGGGAGCCCCATGTAGAGAGTATTACAGTAGTCCAGGCGGGAAGTGACAAGTGCCTCAGTGACTGTGCGTAAGGAGTCCCGATCCAGAAAGGGACGCAACTGGTGAATCAGGCGAACCTGATAAAAAGTCTCCCTGGCCACAGCCATCATATGCTCTTCTAAAGACAGCTGTGCGTCCAGGAGGACGCCCAAGTTGCGAGCCCTCTCCGTGGGGGCCAGTAACCCGCCAATAGCCAGCGATGGCACCAGCTGGCTAAATTGGGACGCCGGAAGCCACAGCCACTCGGTCTTGGAAGGGTTGAGTTGGAGCCTGTTTCTCCCCATCCAGACCCGCACGGCCTCTAGGCACCGGGACATCACTTCAAGGGCATCATTGGGATGGCCTGGGGTGGAGATGTACAGCTGAGTATCATCAGCGTACTGATGGAACTCCACTCCAAAACCACGGATGTTCTCGCCTAGCGGCTTCACATAAATGTTGAACAGGAGGGGTGAGAGGACCGACCACTGCGGCACCCCATAAACAAGGTGCCTCGGGGTCGACCTCTGCTCCCCTGCCAACACCAACTGCGACCGGTCAGAGATATAGGAGAACCACCGTAAAACAGTGCCCCCCATCCCCAACCCCTCCAACCGGTGCAGCAAGATACCATGGTCGATGGTATCAAAAGCTGCTGAGAGATCTAACAGGACTAGGATAGAGGAACAACCTCTATCCCGAGCTCTCCAGAGATCATCCACCAATGCGACCAATGCCGTTTCCGTGCTGTGCCCAGGCCTGAAGCCGGACTGGAGCGGATCTAGATAGATAGCTTCATCAAGGTACTGCGGAAGCTGTCGTGCCACAACACTCTCAACAACCTTCGCCACAAAGCGAAGGTTGGAGACTGGACGGTAGTTAGCTAAAATGGGGCTAGCGGCAATCGGAAGAGCCATGCACGCTCCCCAGCCAGGAATCAAACCTCTGGCTCGCCAGTGACAAGTCATGGTCCTCGGCGGGGTCGAGCAGAAGCCCTTCACGCCGGCAAAGCTGGCTCTACAAGCCAAAGCTGGGAGCAGGCAAAGTGCAATAAACACTTTCACTTGAACCAGCAATAAACCTAATAAACTGAAAAAGGAAATCAAAAAGGGATAAAAAGGCAGAAAAAATAGCTATCCAAGAATGGGTCAGATAGCCAAAACCACGTCTGTCTTAGACCAAGACCGAGTCAAAAGCTGGAGACCATTGGCAGAGGGACTGTCTTACAGCAGTCTTGTTGGCTGACAGACGAGGACAACCCATTCCTGGATGCTGCCTACAATACAATGGAGAACATGAACCTATCTGCACATCAGTCTGCATGCTAAAACTTTCACACAAAATGTATAGATCTTTTGTATGCATTGTCCTCATATATTTTTATGTATTTTTTTCTAACATGTTTATTTTTCTAAGCAAATTTCCCCAATGTAATGAGAAAACAGACTGAAATACATGTAGCTATGTTGCAGAACGGACGTTGACATACCTGAACGTCCCTTTTCAGAACGCTGCGACTCCAATCCATTGGCTGGGTTCTTCTCCATGTTGCTGGGAAAACTGAGTGCAGATTTTTCTTTCTCCTCTGGCTGACCACGCCCACTCTGTCACTCCCACGCCAGTCTTTCTTCACGAAGGCGCAGGAAACCATAAGTCTAGGAAACTGTAACAATAACAACAACAGATCAACAGGACTTCAGGAACAGGAAGCCCTAACAGGGTGGACATGGGTTGGAGTCGCAGCATTCTGAAAAGGGACGTTCAAGTATGTCAACATCCATTTTCCAGCACGCTGCTCCTCCAATCCATTGGCTGGGATCTACCCAAGCTCAACATCCTGGGCGGGAGGCTGACTGCTTCCTGAGTTGTGGAAGGTGGCCACTTGCTGTAAAACTCTATGGCCAAATGAAGCCTCCGCCAAGGCAAAAGAATCAATCTTATAATGTCGTATGAAAGAAGAAACCGATGCCCATATGGCTGCTCGGCAGATGTCAAGTACAGAAGCTTGTGTAGTCCAGGCCGCCGTTGTTGCCGCACTACGGGTCGAATGTGCATAAATTCTGCCCGGGATTGGCCTGGCCTTGACGTCATACGCAGTCGAAATGCAGGCTTTAATCCAGCGACCAACTGTAGCCGATAACACCTTCTTCCCCATTGAGGAAGGGTGAAAGGACACTAGCAAAGCCTCCGTAAGTCGAAAGGACGCCGATCGTCTAATGTATCGACGTAGGGCCCTCCTCACGTCCAGTGTGTGCCAACTCTTTTCTCGAGAATTCCGTGAATCGGGACAAAAATTCGGAATGATGAGCTCCTGGGCCCCGTGAAACCAGGAGTTCATTTTAGGTGTGAAGGAAGGGTCTAACCTCATCACCACCCTGTCCAAGTAGAATATGCAAAGGTCTTTATGGACCGACAAGGCCGTAAGCTCGGAAATTCGCCTCGCAGATGTGATGGTGAGTAGGAAGGTAAGTTTGAATGTGAGAAATTTAAGCGGGATGGAGCCCAGCGGTTTGAAGGGAGCAGAGGTAAGTGCTTGTAGCACCAGTGGCAAGTCCCAAGATGGATATCGATGGACTATCGGAGGAGATATGTTGGTGGCTCTGTGTAAAAACCCCTTGATATGAGGATTTTGTGACAGCCTTCGGTGTGGCTCACAAGTAAGAACCGTGGCGAGAGCCGTGACTTGTTGTCTCAAGGTAGCCGGGGCTAGGCCTTTGGACAACCCGTCCATCAAGAAATCAGGAATGTCGGCAGATGTGGGGTCCACATGGTGTGCTGAACACCAAATTGAAAATGCCCTCCACAACGCTTGATAAATACGAGTCATGGAGGGGCGCCTGGACGACTGAATGACCTCTATCACCTTGTCGGAGAGCCTGTCCTTCCTCAGCAGGATCCTCTCAAGTGCCAGACGGTCAACTGGAGCCACTGAGGCTCCAGATGGGCGATGACCTCCTGGCTGAGAGAGATCACATGCTGAGAAATTGTCCACGGTGGAGAGACCGACAGGTTGACCAAGTCCGCGTACCAGGGTCTGCATGGCCAGAGAGGAGCCACCAATAGAATCTCCGCTTGCTCCGCCAACAACTTCCGAACCACTCGTGGTATCAGGGGAAGGGGCAGGAAGGCATATAGCAGCCTGGGAGGCCACGGACATGCACCCATGCACTGGTAGCGTGTGAAGAAATGAGGCAACTGTGCATTTTGAGGGGTGGCAAATAAGTCCACCAGAGGGCGTCCGAATCGGCGAACAATTTCTACGAAAATGTTGGGATGGAGCCTCCATTCGGCCGGGTCGATGCGTTCCCTGCTCAGCCAATCTGCTTGTGTGTTTGACACGCAGGAAATGTGATCCGCTTTCAGTGACGCTGTGTGGCGCTCTGCCCAGGCTAGAAGACATTCAGCCTCGATCATCAGATTCTTGGAACGAGTGCCCCCTTCGCGATTTATGTGGGCTTTGGTCGTCATGTTGTCTGTCCGGATCCACACATGCTGGCCCTCCAAGATGGGATGGAAGTGCCGCAGAGCGAGGCGCACAGCCCTCAACTCCAGCCAGTTGATGCTGTTCACCCTCTCCGATGGTGACCAACGACCTTGGACCACCTGATCTAAGAGGTGGCCACCCCAGCCGAGGCTTGCGTCTGATGTAAGGACGAGTCGATTGACCTCTAGGAACACACACCCCTCCTGGATCGCTGGAGACATCCACTAAGTTAGAGACAATCGCACTTGGGGAGGCAATAGAATCTGTGAGCGGGATGTGCTGCGTCCTGACTTCTGAAATGGTAGCAGAAGCCACTGCAGGGGTTTCGTGTGTCTGTGTGCCCAGGGAACGATAGCGATACAGGATACCATCTTCCCCAACAGTTGGGACAGTTGAAGAAGAGGTACCTTCCGCTGGGTCTTTATCTGAGTCACCAAGGTCTTGATATTGTGGACTCTGTCTGGCAATAGGAACACCTGTCCTTTGGACGTATCGATCACTGCCCCCAAATGTAGAAGACGCATAGTCGGTATGAGATGGCTCTTTTTGTAGTTGATTGTGAAGCCATGACTTTGGAACCCCCAGATCACTGCTCCCGTATCTGTCATGGCCTGAGACGGAGAAGAGGACAGGACAAGGATATCATCTAAATAACAGAGAAGACGTATTGGCCGGGACTGTAGTGACACCGCTATGACTGCCACCAGTTTGGTGAAAGTTCTGGGGGCAGAGGAAAGCTCAAAGGGCATCGCACAGTACTGGAAGTGATGGTTGTCGTACTCGAATCTCAGGTACTTGTGATGCGCCGGGTGGATCGGGACATGTAAATAAGCCTCCCGAAGGTCCACGGACTGCAGAAGGTCGTTGCATCTGATGCAAGTCAGGATCGATCCGAGAGACCTTTGTAACCTTCGATACAAGATGAATTTGTTTAGCTGTTTCAGGTTCAAGATGCCTCTGTGCCCCCCCCCGAAGCCTTGGCCACCAGGAACAGGGAGGAGTAGAATCCGGTCATCTCTTGACCTTTGGGTACCGGTTCTATTGCTCTGATGGTCAGCAGATGAGAGATCTCTGCTTCCATCAATTGACATTGTTGAAGGAGGTGGGGAACCGGGCAACAATGGAAACGACTGGGAGGGACCCCGAGAAATTCCAGACATAGTCCATGACGCACTGTGCGCCGGATCCACTCCTCTGGTATTGAGAGAGCCCATTGATGGTGAAACTGCTGGAGGCGACCACCAATGGGATCTGATAGTTGAGAGTCATTTGCTCTTTTGGTGGAACGGAAACCGCCGCCTCGTAAAGGTCGTTTGGAGAATGTCTGATTGCGCGTACGATCTCGAAATATGTGCCTGTCGGAACCACGGTCTGCACCTTGGGCAAACGGTTGCTGAGCATAGGACCCACTGGGTCCCGAGATGGCCTGAAAGGGCTGGCACTGGCTGAAAGGTACATATCTGCACTCCGGCCTGTGTTAGGAAGACGGAAGGATCTTTTGCTTCTCTTTATCTTCCACCAAGAAAGGCTCCAGCGATGCCCAAACAAGGAAGGAGCCTTGAAAGCTGAAGAGGCCAATTTCCACTTTGCCTTTGAGTCAGCTTTCCAGTTTCGGAGCCAGAACAGACGCCGGTTGGTGACAGAGGACGCCAAGGCGCAGGAGGCAAATTTAGTGGCATTTAGAGAGGTATCCGCTGAATACTCTGTAGCCACAAATATTTTATTGATATCTTGATGAATGCATGTCTTGTTGGGAGGGAGACACTCTTGCAGCTGATGGAGCCAGATCAATGATGCTCTATTAAAGAACAAGGTCGCCGTAGCCGCCTTGATCGCCCAAGCGGCCGCCTGATGCACCTTTCTAAAACCCAATTTGGCCTTTCGTTCCTCAGACTTTAAGCCGTCCAAGACGTCTGCAGAGATAACTGAAGGTGAAGAGAGGCTGGCAACTGGCGTATCCACAGATGGTAGCGCCAATATATCCTCCAACTCCGAAGCTGCACAATAAAGCTGCTTGTCCAACCCACTCAAGGCTGTCAAGGACCCAGGCTGTCCAAATGCAGTTTGAACACCGTCCGTAAAAAGCAGCGGACAAGGTATAACATCCTTTTCTGCTTGGACACCTGAAACAAGGCGTCATGTGGAGCTACAGAATGTTTAGTGCTGTGAGATGGGGAAGTTATCAAACCACATTGAGTAGTGACTTTTGCCTTGTGCAAAAGAGATTTAAAAACAGATGGTCGAAAAAGGCCAGTGAACACAGGCTTATCAGGTGGTAGGCCTTCATCCTCTGAGAATTCTAGGTCCTCAGGACCTTCAATAGCTTAGTCAGACTCCTCAGAAGATGTATAGTCTGCATGAGTTAAAGCAGTGTTTTAGTAGGGTGAGTGGTGCGAACCTGAGCATGAAGGTTAGAAGTTGAAGGTTGTGCAGTGTTGGAGCCCTGTTAAAGTCCGGCTGCCAACATCTTTCCAAGGCATCCGATAGCATGGACTGCAAATCCAGCTGAGCAGTGGGTTCCTCCGGAGCCCCACTGCCGTTGGAGTAAAAGTCGCTTCAGGAGCACACCTAGGTCGCACAGGCTGGTCAGTTTGGGGCGCCAATGAGACATTAGGTAGGGACATTGAGACCCCCCTTGGAGATTGTAGATTTGAGACAGTAGGAGCCCGATGGCCACAACAATCAGAGGTTTCCGATTAAAACAGAGAGACACTGTCCTTGGCTATAGTTTTAGATGGAGAGGGAGGCCCTGCGACTTTCTCAGGACAGGTTAATGGGCCTTTGGCTTTCTTGACCTTCTCAAATTGTTTTTCAAGCACCTTGTGGCGCCGCAGTCAACTGCAACCATTGGGGCTCTGGATGCAGTATGATCCCCTGGCTGAGAGAAATCTTGTGGTCCGGAATCCGCCATGGAGGAGCCACTGAGAGGCTCATCAGATCGGCGAACCATGATCTGCGCGCCCAGTGAGGGGCGACTAGGAGGACGTCCGCTTGTTCCAGGAGAATCTTCTGGATCACCCTCGGCAGGAGCGGGAGGGGGGAAGGCATAGAGCAGGCCCCGGGGCCAGAGACAGAGGAGGCCGTCGATGCCTTCTGCCGTAGGGCACTGGAACCTCGAAAAGAACCTTGGCAGTTGAGTGTTGCTTGGATGCGCGAACAGATCGAGGATAGGACGGCCG